AGTCTGTTGTGTATATTCATTTTATTATTCATCTTCAAATACTGAAAACAAGAATGAAAAAAAAATTTATTTTCTTTTTTGGGTTGGTGTGAAGACTTATTTAATGTAAGACTATTTAATTATTTAATATAAGAATGAGTCTAATTTTCTCTGCACTTATTTTTTTAAAAATTTTAAACTTATGGTTCTAGACCATATGCCTTTTTTTGCTGCTGTGTTAAGTTGCAAGTTAATTTTAAACCAAGAGGGTTTAGTACTTGTGATGACATTTCAATTCAATTAAATCAATATGATGGCATTCCTATTGTACACTGTTATATCACCCTTTTAGGGAATCCATTGCAGTTGGTACACTGTTATATCACCCTTTTAGGGAATCCATTGCAGTTGGTAATGAATTAATTCAGATGAAACCAGTGAACTAAATTCAATTTCTTTTTGCTTTCATATAAATCATTTGAGGAAAAGCATAGGTATTCTATCCCAATGTTTCTCAGTGGGTTTTTTTTTAATCTCACTGCACACTTGCATCTATAGTTAAAGTTCTGTGGCACACTTAAATTATGATTTAAAAAAAAAAAAAAAAAAAGAATATACTTTTTATGATTTATTTATTAACACAAACAATTATAATTTGTATTAAAAAAATAATTAAAATTCTTAAAAAAATTTTTTTTTATTTTTCTGTTTATTATAAGTTAACATTTAACGAGATATCTGGGCTTGACAATTTTTTTTAGAATATCTCCTTTGCAAGGTCAAATTTTTGATAGGCATTCACTTAAATCCTCTTCCAAGGATTCTAGCCGTGATTCACTTTTGTTTTTAATATTGTTTATTACAGAAAAGCTTACACTTTATATATTATGTATACTACAGATTTATTATAACAACAATATACTTGTATAATCAGTTTAAAGTGGTTCTCATTTTGATTATACACACTTATTTTGCTTTTGACTTTATTCAAAAATCATTTAATTAATGACCTTTAAAATTTTTTGTGACACACCTAAGATCCTCTCACAGCACATGAATGTACCATGGTACACTGGTTGAAAAGTACTGTTCTAACCCCACACACTGATCCCAGTCTCAGCTTGCATTCCACAGTGAGAGAGAGAAGAAAAAAACAAGTTATGCTATACAACACTCAATCCTCAAAATGAGAATTAAAATCATATTGGAGTGATTAATTACAGGGTTATCCTATTTTCTTCATGCACCTATTTGCAATTTAATTTTAAGTTACTCCTCTAAAAAATAACTTAGCTATCTCTCAAGTGAAAGAGTTAAAAAAATCAATCAATCAAAACAATGATTATCCTAATTTGTAATCAAAATCCTAAATTACCTTATGAGTAAATAAAACAGTAAAATACTCTAAGGTAGAAATAAATTTTTAAAAATGCAATAATTCCATATATCTTGCAATATAACACAAAGTGTACTTGCACATTTTCTGTCCCCAATGTCTAACTTATATGCTGCAAGTGAGATAACTGAATTATACTGCTGGCAATACCAGGTAACATTGTTCTGACAGTGGCAGATAGTCTGAATTAATAATGCAGATAGAATCATCTCTGAAAATCTAAAAATGGTAGAGGATATTTATTCTATGAATGTATAAATTGGTAAACTATAAACTATGATAAATGGAAAAAATATACTTAGACTCACATATGAAAATAAAAACAAAATATGCTATCATTGTTGGCAGCATAGGTAAACTAATTATTTAAAAAGAAAAAAATTTCAAAAATTAAATTTAACATTTGTCTTCATATTTTTATATATTTATTTATTTCATGTATTAACTTACAAATATTTTTTTAATTAAACTCATTTTTGTTTTAAATCCTTATCTAGTCTGTATATATCTAAGTGAATATGGCAATGAAGATAGCAGTTTGAGTAATGTAAATAATGCAAGTAATCATTATCTAGTATTTTAAGTTGTATATAATGCTAAAGGAAATTCAAAGATATTGCAGTACTTACATAATAATAGTGATAATCAAATTTTTAAAAAACATCCCATAAAATAATCATCAAACTTATCATTTTCACTTTGTTTCATTCAGAATTTAAATAGATAATATAGACCAAGTTATATAACACTGAAAAGATTCACTGTTGCTTTGACAACCTTCATCTGACAAAAGCTGAGATCATGGTATTTTCAGGGAATAGCTGGTAACATTCACACAGCAACATTGGCACAATGTGGAGATATCAGGTTGTCTAATGAGCAGTTGGAAAATAACTACGACTCACTCAAAATACCATAACTCAACAATTTATGTCTTACTGTGGTACTCTATAAAGGACGGCAATTACAAGAAAGAACCTATCACAACAGAAAATTTATACTAACAAAAATATATATATAAAAAAAGATACCTATTTCAAGTCCAATTATGATAGTTCTCAGATTTTAGCAAGGTTTGTGCATGTGGGTAGAGAAAGTAGCATTGGAATGTTCCCAGAATGGTTGCGATTTTACCAGCCAGCACATGTGTGCACAGATAACACTTATGGATACCCAGCCATCTCCTGAGTTAGTCTATCAATAGGCATCATACTATCTACTGACGTTCAATTATTATACAAAGTTTTGTAACATTATGTTTGAATGGCTAAGAAATATACAATGACTGACAAATTTGAGCAACACACTTGCTGTCAAATTTTGCATTAAGCTGAATATCTAATGCCGACTGCCTGATGAATGCATAACTGCTGTGCAGGAAACTAACAGTCATAAAATTGCTCAGATCTGCACCAAAAATTTATATATATATATATATATATATATATATATATATATATATATATATATATATACACACACACACAGAATTGGTTATTGATTTTGATATATAAATTGGTTATATCAAATGATTCTGAAAGATTTTCTATAATGTAGGAAAGAAAAACAAAACATGTAGGTTTCTGAAAGATTTCTCTTTTACTGATAAAATGTTTGTGCATGTGAGAGTGTGTGTGTGTATATATATATATATATATATATATATATATATATATATATATATATATAAAAAAACACATACAGACAGCATTAATTTTTTGCATACCAATTTGCTGACTAAAGCACTCTAGCAAAACAAACTTACAGATTACCAAGTTTGCCTTGAATAATGGTTTTTGTCACCCTGCCAGGTACATGTTTGTATTTTAATACCATCATAACATCAATGTTGTGTCTGTGTAGTTTTATGTATTTTTTAACAGGATATAGGTGCATGTATGAATGTTGGTTGGTTAACTACTGCTATTGTAGAATCTAAATAATCTAACTGAAAATTTTGAGAAATGTTCAGCAATTTCTTTTTAAACTTGCATAGTTTATGAAAGGAATGAAACCTGACCTGTTTCATGTTTAGTGAATGGCATTTATGTTTAGTCTATTGCAGAGTAGGATGTTTGTTTACTTGATCATGGTCTACAAAAGTTTATCTTTCATTCGAAAGGATGTACACAAGTCAAAAGTAGCAGCCTATCATAACTCAACAATTTTCTCAATTTAAAAAAAAAAATTGCATTAAACACTATTCAAATTTGAAGCAAATATTAAAAAAAAAAGTTATTTTTCAAACATTCAGATGTTTTTTGCAAAGTATACATTTTTACTTTGATTAATTTTTAAGTTTTTACCATGAGACAAAAGCCTGAAACAAAAAAAAAAAAATTGTCTTTGATTTTATGGTTATGTTATCTTAAATTAATAAATTATCTTCTTTATACTAAAATTACTGTAATCATGAAGACACAAGTCCAATCAGTTAAAACAAAATAAAGAGAAATTTGTGTTTATCTTTTTGAAAATTAAGCAACTTTTTAAAGTATTCAGAAAAAGAAAAGGAAAAATATTTTGGTCCGATAAAATCTTTCTTTGAAGTATTCAGCTTAGCTTGATAAGTCAGAAAAAACACTCAACACTATCCAATGTCTGCTGATTATTTTACGGCTGGCAATTACGTTCCATGTGTATCTGCCCAGCCTACAGGGCAATCAGATTTTGAACTGTTTACTTGGACATACTAGAACTTTTACAAATAAATAATATGAAGCAGCATTTTTTTTAGGGTTTATATAGAGAATCAGACTGTCAATTTATCATTTCTTTTTAGCGTGAGGAGAGTTCAGTGTATTACTGTCTACCATCTAGAATCAGTAAAACTAGTAGTTTATAAATACTAACCAATCAGTAGAAAACTATAATTTCAAATACCATACAAATGCATTGAAAACAATAATATTAAACATTTCTTTAGCTTTGTAGCAAACATAACTTTTTGTCATTTCAAAAAAACAGTGTTAGACAAAAGGATGATTTCTTGTAGAAAAAAATTAAACTAAAACAGAAATGAAGCAAGGGAATCAAATCAACAAAAGGTAGGACGTTTTCACAAAAGATAGAATTATTTTAAATTTTAATAATTTCAAAATATGTGCATTAATACATGCACTGAACTTACATGTAGGTAAGAAAATAAATCCATAGTCTAATGATAAAAGCATTTATTTGACAATAAATATTGATTTTTTTTAACACAAACTCTTTCAGTGATGAATATTAATCACATAAATTCAACATTATACAGTGAAATATTTCAGATTAAAATTTAGTTACTAGTCAGGCTGTGAACTTATTGATGCATTATTATAAGTGTGTATGTTATGATATCCAATGTAAACAATATATATTGAGATTTTCAGATGTTAAGATGAGGAGTGGATGACAGGAGCTATTAAAGTAAAATTTGTAACATGGTTGATAGTGAAATTTAAGTGAAATATTTTTTTAATTACTGGGAGAACAGTCATCATGTTATTGCTTCTCAGTTTGTTTATGTTCCTAGCATGAGACCCGAATAAAAGTATTTCATTATTTCTTAAAATTTCTTATATTCTGGTTTAAATAAATTATCAGAACCTTAAGTTTCAGTGGTTCAGGTGGTGTAATGGGCTCACAGCCATATCACGTTGAAATGCCAATTCTCATACGATCACCGAAGTTAAGCAACATTGAGACTGGTCAGTACCTAGATGGGTGATCACTTGGGAATACTAGGTGCAGTAACTTTGGATGTGCAGGTGGTGTAGATAACAGCTCGGAAATGAGAAATCAGCTAGCCGAGTTAAAATCGTTTTCACGCAAATACCCTTGGAGAAAAATGTATGTATCCATCACTTCTTTCCCCAGCTATGGATTAAATAACAGGACAAACTGGGAAAACTGAATTTTAAATCATACATAGACATGGCAATGTATATACAATGCAGGCACCAAAAGGTTTGTGGCGATTACAATGACACTATAATTCCAAATGTAGTTGATATGATAGAATAGAAGTAGTCATGTATGTCACTGTATGCAGCCACACATTAAACAAAGCTTTCACACTTGCATTGACAAGTTGGAAAAAAATAAAAACAACAGTCCAGCTGAATTAATAACTACTTCACATGCTTGCTCCAGAAAAATTCTAAGTAAATGATTTTTGGATTAATGACAGATCTTTTTGTGCCATTATACCAGCTGAAAATCACTGTCTGTTTTAAGTTTTTAACTTGTCTGATTTCCTTCTTGGCAACACTACTGAATTTGCAACCTGAAAAGCTATACACCATTAATACTATATTTGGTCCTATATTAATATTTGGTACTACACTTATACAAGTATAAAAATTCATGACTCAAGCTATATTAAAAAAGTATCATTATGTCACAGTTTTTTTTTTTTTATCATATGTAATAATTTGAAACAAATTAAAAGAATAATAGCTGTGCTGTTAACTACATAAATTTAAAAAAAAAATCCTCCTGCTAATCAAGTATACTGGTAAGGATAGCAGAGTTGCATATTGATAATGAGACTTAATTTGCTATCCAGAATGAAAAATGTACCAGATATGTTTCAAGATTAACTAAGGATTGATGACAAGTCATTGCAGGAATTTGATAAACTATTTGTTTAAGAGCACTTAACTGATTTTACAATGACTAATGTATAATCACATCAGATTTATAGACTATATCCCTTGAGATGGAACTGTAAACATTCCACAAAAATGTCCTACCCTCTCAACCAGAGTGGACTATAACTTCAAAGTTATCAGTTCAACTTCATATATATTTCATCACTGAAATGGTAGACAGATGTGTGCACGAAATGGAGAATGATTCTTCTTCAGCAAATGAATTGATACTGGGTTACTGACAAGCAGGCACTATGAGTACAGTTGTATTAATGATCTACAGATTTTTGCTTTTCACAGAAAGAAACATTTAAATCAATTTTACTACAAAACAATCCAGAGTGTACCAAGTATCTGAGAACACATCTCTACTTGGAAATAAATGAAAGACAACCCAATATTTTATACAGAATGTAACGTTTTTCACATTAACCAGTTGGGAGTAATTATGAGATCTCATGAAAAATTTCATTGTTTCTAGAGTAAGTGACAAGATATTTTGAAAGAAATTTCTTGGTTATTTTAAAGATTCTAATAGTTTAGTGATTCAAGACAATCTCTAGATGTTCAAAGTGGAAGCGATGATTGACATGGAATGGGTAATAAGATGACATCACACAAAATTATCCTATTTTCATATGGTTAATCTACAAACAAAATTCACAAAAAGAACAAAACTTACCGATATTATTCTGACAATCCTTAGAATTCCAGCAGTATTTACATCCATGTGGACATTGGTCAACACATTCCCTAGGGTCTTTATTATCAACAATGGAATGGCTGTCCGGAGCCAGCGAGGTGATTTTTGTCCAATCAATTGTCTGAAGGTAGCAGAGGTTAGGACTTTTGTTAAAACGTACAGCTCCACGCTGAATAACTGTCAGGCTGCTCAAACCCAGTTCTTCAAGATCAGGCATTTCAAATGCAACAAGAGCATAATTGTAAAAAAGCACCTGCCCTCGGATTACGGCTAAATTTGGGAATATATGGCGCAATGTTTTGAGTCCATAGGCACGATACATAAGCAGATAGTCAGTGATCTCCACCAACTTGGGAAAGCGCAGGCTGATATACTCCTCGGTCTTGGCATAATCCAGCAGTAAAATTTGCAAGTTGCCCTCTATCACAGTACAATCTTTCAACAGGCTAAAGTGCTCCACTCGGTTCTTTATTACAATACTTGGACATACTGCAAAACAAAGAAAATATTAAAAACAAAAACAAACAAAAAAAACAAACAAAAACATATGTAGCCTTCTTATTTGTGTATTTTGGAGATACATTGGTCAGGTTGATTAAAATTAAAGTTTAAAACAAGTCATAGTTTAATGCAAAAAGTAACTAACTTTTTTTTTTTTTAAATTATACCAGCAACTGAATATAAAAGACTTGCTAGTCGTAGATTTTAATCTAATATATAATATTATCACTAATTTATTATTACCTCTAAAAGTCACTTGGATAAATACATTTTTAAACAGATCAGTCAAATTTTTCTATTTTATATTACTTGTACACAGTACCATGTAAAAGTCAAAAGCCACTTTAAACTATAATAAATTTTTCATAAATTATCTACTTGTAACTAAATGTTTTGTACCCCTTTTTTCACTGATGACATGTTGATTCTATGAGTGACATTTGCATAACTAGACTTTATAGTCTGTTGCTGTGGTTTCAAATTTGAGAGAAAAATATTTGCTAACCTACAAAAATGTCCTTTGGCCTTTGCACAGTACTGTACATTAAGCATTGGTAACATGATTGGGGAAAACTGACGACTTTTAAAGAAAATTTTGCAAATGTCTGAAGAATTAAAGAAATTTTCTTTAATTTCTAAAAAAAAAAAAAAAAAATTTAATAAAGCCTAGTACTATGTAATAAGAATTTGTGAAAAACTCTTGATATATGAAAAAAAATCTCAAGTGCTAAATAAACATTCCCTTATTTTTTTTTTTTGTATCTTTCCCCACATCCTACTAGGAGTTTATTAAAAACCCCATACTTATTAATTTTGGACTATTTACAGTCACTGTGAAAGATTTTATCTTGTATTGTGGTAGGAAACCATTGCAAAGTTTCTTTTAATGAAATATCTTGTATTCGATTCATTCATTCATTAATAGATATTTATTTACCTTGTGATGTTGGCAAGACATCATGAAATTAAAGACATTAACAGACATTTATTTTTAGTTTTTGAAAGTCTTGTTATAGTTTGAATGACTTGTTTTTAATCATTTCAAACAACCGCATTTATTGAATCCAATCCATTCCATTTATTAGACCTAAACCTCAATCATTATAAATCCCACTTTTTTTGGGCATCCGAAAGTAAAAGTGTAACATGAATAATTTTCTATTCATATAATAGAAAATAAAATTAAAGCCTGTCTAAGACTTTAATGTTAGCAAAGAAAGAAGTTTGCTTCTTTTCAAGAAAACATTAAACAACTTACACTTATAGCTGAATTCTTTTGTGTTTAGTTATTTAAAAAGGAGAGTATATGACAATGAATAATTTTGAAAAGAATACCTTACTAAATTGAACAGAAGGACTACACGAATTTAAGTATCAAATTAATAATTTAAACTGAGGTATTTCTTAAATAGTGAGGTAGACAGGGCTCCCTAGTCTTGGATGGCAGCCAGTCTAGGAAAAGGATAATATAAAACTGGTGAAGGCAATGGGGAGTGACTCCACTATTTTTTCTAAGAATTAATGACAATTTATAGATAATAAAGAAAAAGGAGTCTGTGGAGAGACATGATTGCCTACATCATGAATGGACATGGCAAAAAAAAAAAAAAATTGAACATCATACAACTCTGAATGTATCATTGAAAAATGTGTGTATATTTTGTTTTGCAACAGGAGGACATCATTTTCATTGTTTTATAGATTATTATGCTGTTCACCCAGTCATCTTATTCAATTAATTAAACCTAATAATAGAGGAAATACATTGCCACGAAACACTTACTTAGAAATTGCCTACATCATTGTGGATGACTTGGAAGTGTCTGGATATTTTATTTGTTCTATTTATCAGTGCACCCACGTCACTACCAAATGTGACACAAGGTCAGTTTAAAGTGGGTTTAACGGCAATAACGCGGAAAATTGCCCAAGCCTCCACCACACTTCCCTCTTTGAGGATGCCTCATTGACTAGGCAATAAACCTAGCCCCTTCGTGGAGGAGAGGTACTGCTTGAGGAGAAGGCCTCCTGGAGATTGGGTTTAATATTTTTTTGAAACTTCCCCAGCATGTGCCAGGTAAGTATAACAAATGAATGTATTTCTGAAAAACATGCTTTTAAGTAATCAATAAACAAGAAAGTTTGATTAATAAATACTGTGAATAAACATCATTTTATCCAGTGTTTTTCGTTAAAATATCAAATATTAATTACTTAAAGGTATTAATTAGCTAAAAGTATTATATATAATATTAGGAAGAGTTTCTTTGTTATAGAAATCTAAACTCTTGTGTACAGTCCTCAAATTTCGTATGCAAATTTACTGAATCCAGGGGAAAGTTTTAATATAAAAATAGGGATATTCATTACCATAGTTACTGTACATAATTAACCTTGATTCATAAATAAATAATTAATTATCCATTTAATTTCTGTTACCCTGTTATGAAGGATTTCACCATCCCAGTAGTAAATAAAAGGTTAGTCATTATAACTAGTTGCTTGACCCTTTATCCTCATGAGTATTAACTAGTAACATTATATTTACATACTTGTCTCCTTTCATTACACACAGGTATCTGTTCTATTAACAGATTGTAGCTTTTACTCCCTATAAACATTTTATTAACAGAAATATTCATGACATAACATAAAAATATTAACAAAATCAACCATAATTTTATTTGTTAAAATATTGATGACCTGCAGATGAATTTTTAATGTTTCTGTCATATTTCATTTTAATATTGTCAGCTATATAAATGTAAATATAAGATCTGTAATAGGGCTGGATGTGCTGTGTGAGTTATGGGTGAAATAGGGATAAGCGGATTGTGTTATCTAACATGAAATCTAGGGAGTATATAACTTAGCTTTCTGTAACCATTGCATATT